TAAACGCACAGCGCCTACAAGACTGCATGAATACTTCACACATTGGGCCAACACAGTGTGGTTGGCGCAGCGGTGGAAGTTAAAAGTATTAACCACATTTATGTATGTTCTTTCATAATTTTTTCGTTCGTTTTTTATAAATGGAAGGCCTTGTCCAAACAGGGATGGGAAAATATCTCAGTCCAGACGGGAGCCATATCGGACGTTTGGGAGCCACCTCGGGTACGTTCCGCAGGGCAATTGTGTGCTTTGATATTTTTCGACCTATCATCCCATTCTAGCCTTTTTATCAGCGTCACTCTGGCCACTCCTCCTAGGTGGCATTGCCAAACCCCAATCCCTAATGATTATTCTAAGAGAAATACCCCAATTTTCAGTGTATTTCCTGATCAAGTACCCCAAGTTTTGTTGTATTTTCTGAATGAATTCCTGGGGTAATTTTTTCAGGAAATTGGGGTATTTCTCTCGGAATAATCACTGGGGATTGGGGTTTGGCAATGCCACCTAGGAGGAGTGGCCAGAGTGACGCTGATAAAAAGGCTAGAATGGGATGATGGGTTGAAAAATATCAAAGCACACAATTGCTCTGCGGCTGATTACTGCAATTGATAGATTGTCTAGCAATTGATAGACAAAGCTGTAGACAAGGAAGACAAAGGAAAAAAGGAAAATTAGTGTATTTTCTTCAGAAAATACACGAAAATACACTATTGGGCTCTCCCTCATGGTGGGCATTAGATCTGGGACCATGTGAGTAGCACCGATCTCGAGTCGTAGATCACGAACATATTTTGTGTGTTTTTCGAACCTAGCGACCTGCGCCGCGCCTCTCGGCGATCAGAAGCGAAACCGGCTCGGAGGTAAAGCGCGGAAAGTCGCGGGAAAACGGAGGAGCGAAAAGCCGTTCTCGGTTAGATTAGAAACGAACGATGAAAAGAGTACCCCCGGTAAATATTGACATTAAAAGCTAACGAGTCGGAGTTTCAAAGCTCGGAGCCCGGGCGGCGGCGGGGGGTGGGGGGG